GTGGAGTACTCGGGGTGGGAGGTTATTAAAATATCAGCGTCCCCCGACGTCGGCCCCGACGTCGAGCGTCAGCCGACGTTGTCGGAATTGGACGAACGTTGCCTGCTAACGTTGCTGCTCACAATAAGCCGCTTACCGTCGATTCCTCCCTTCCTCCTCCTGCCCCCTCCCCCAACCACCCACCCCTCTTAGCCCTACTCCAGCCGGTAGCTACCTACCCCGTCCGTACAGCTACAGCCATCCCTGCCAGTCACCCCTATCGCGCACTGCCCCTACAAATTTACCAGCCCCTCGTACCTGTCAATATTAAATCGAGCTTCGGCTACCGAAAATACGACGGAGACGAATGGCCCACCTTGCTTCGCTCTCCGGTTCCTCGGATAAGGAATCGTTACGCTTTTACTTTCCCGTTTGAGTAGGTTCCCTCGATGGAGCCCCTACCCCTGTCTCCTCCATCGTCCTGTACCACGTGTCCGGGACCCTCCGAAAAAATTTCCTCTGGGAGCTGATAAATTTGCGAAATTACCTAGACCTGTCGTGCGAATCCAGCACCCGTTGACCGATACGGTATTGAGGGGTTGGTCAAGATTTTAGGGGATGAAAATGGGATTGGAATTTATACGTAGGCAATTATGTCGTAAGTCGCTGGTACGTAAGGAGGGACGAACCTTAGCATGGTAAATCTAATTACGTTATTAGAAGCCACAGAGTGGAAGTGGCCTCCCTCTATTTTTTTTAGCTCCGCTGAAACCTCCCAAGGTTCACTTCATCCCCTACTTGTCTATCGTATCTATGACCCGGATTCGAAGGTCTTCAGCTGTTTTCTGGGGGCTGCTTTCATGCGGCTTCTTCTACTGCCTCTTTGTGGGAGGAGGGAGGCATTCCTGCAGGGGTGCATCTTTGGCATAATTTTTCAGCTTTCCATCAAGGATTTCCTTCGCGGCCTCGGTGGTGCTACCCCTTTTTGTGAAAGTAGCCGAGGATCTGTGTAATGGAACAACCCCTCTACTGGGGGTTGTTTTCTAGTCGGCGAGGCTACAGAGAGGGGAACAAGTGTCAGACATTGCGGAGGGTCCAGAATTTCCAAGGTTAAAAATAGAGACTGCGAGTAGAGAGTGTAGCAGAAGGGGGTAGTAGCGAAACTACCCTTAAAAGTTGCGAGGGACGTTTTTCGAGACTTTTGAAAAATTCTTTAACGAGTTTCGAAAACATTTTCGATGTTACTGGATTTAAATGGTTTTATTCTCGAGGCTCTGAAATATTGTTTCGCGGCAGTGAGAATCGACGGGGAGCTCGTAAGGGTGGGAAAACAGGGGATGGTATCCCTTAACATTAAGAATAAGAGATACATAATGGCAGATAGTTAAGAGGAACGTAATGTCTCTGCGCCCGTGGGAAAATTAAAGGCGGCCCTGAGCACCCTTGCATTTTGCAGGCTCTGTCTGGCCGCGCAGAGTATTGATCTGGGGGATGATTTTTAAGACAAAGTTCCCGCCAAACTCCACAGATGGCACCACAGGCTGCTACCCGAGAGACCCCTTGAAATTCTCATAGGGTTCCAGTGCGTCTAGCTAGGAACGCGCGCGCCAGGGCGAAGCGTATCTTCCCTCCTGTAAAATTCATTTCCTTTTGATTGGCAGCTGCCCGAAAATACACCCTTATGAGCGAGGCACGACCTCTCGCACGCTCTGGGCTCTCTTTACAACCCTTTACTGAGCGTGGCCTCTCTTTCGTCCCCCATGGAGGAAGAACCCGGGGTACCCAGGTCCATCGATCGTATTTTCTCCTTGGTCCGCCGGATCCATGAGATTTCTCTGTTTGGGCATCCCTTAACACCTTCACCCTAATCTACAATCCTCCTCCCCGGCCCTACCCTTCGTGTAAGAGTAGCACTGCATACCCGGTGGCAAATTCGAAAGGGGTGTCACTTTATTGTATCTTCCCTCAAGATCATCTGGAAAGCCTTAATTAAGATGCCACGATGATCAGCACCCCGTTCGACCTAATGCTGTTTTTTTCATCCCCCACAGGGTTGTTGACCCAGGGTAGCGATGGCCGCGGGGTGGTAGTAGACGACGAAAAAGGTATCGAAGGAAAATCGAAAGTTAGGTAGAGGAAAGGTGTCGGAGCGACTAAGGGGTGCGCCGCGTGAGCATGCGTGTGTGTGCGTGCGTGTGCCTAAGGGTGGCAGGAAGATGGGGGATATGATGTAGCCTAGGGGTGGCTCCGGAGGAAGCGTCCGGGCTCGAGGGTTGCTACAAATCCGCAATACACCCTCCGCCCACCCTCCTCGTAGGTCGCTGCGTGCCTCCCCCCTCCCTCCCTCCCTTTCGCGGTGCCAGGGGTGCAGGGGTTGAAAACTGCTTGGACTGCTGAGGGACCGAAGCTGAAAGGGGATGGTACGCTCGGAGTATGAGATCAGACGCTTCACCGTGAGGTTCTCAACCCCAAAGTTTCAGATCTGGTCCATACGGACTGACTGAAAGGGAGGGTGGCCGGCCTGGGGGTTGGCCGACGCACTGGCCTCTAGGGGTAGTTTAGGTAAAATCGGACCGAGAGAATTCGAAGTTCGTTAAACCGCGTGTGCGTTAAATACGCAGTACGCATTGAGGTATCCCTTCCCCTCTCTAGCCCCCCCCCCCCTATGCAGAACGGGAGTAGAGGTTCTCAACCCCTATTCCTGAAACGGGGTCGTTAAACGAAGGCATTAGACACCAAACGTTTCTCGAGGGTTGTCATTCTGCGCGAGGGGTGGGTTTCAAGAGGGACACGCTAGAAATGCCAAGGAGATGATGGCGGTACGAGATCAGACGGCACAGGGGTTCTCAACCTAAACTCTGTGTTAACTTTTATATATTTTTCTTCTCTTCGAATGAAAAGCTAACACTGCCGTTGGTTCATCGATCATACGCAAATGCGTTTGTGAATGGGTATTTCGAAAATGGTGAAAATTCCAAATTTTTTTTTTTCTTCTCTTTTTCTTAATGGGTCTAATAATACTACAGGAAGTTTAACCACTTATCCTAATTTCGTATACGTTTCGTATATACACGTACTCGAGCAACGTTACGTTGGATCGTTTTCCCATAATCCCGTATCACGTATCGCATTAATAATGGCCGCCTTTATCGCGGTACATTTCGATCGTTAATCAAACAATTAGCCACGTTTATGTAGTTAAGTCAGTAACGACGGGAGTGGCACGTTAATCGATCGTATTTTCGTATACAGTTTGCACGTATTATTTCTGCCTAACGTTTTTCCATTTTTTTTTTGACATTTTATTAAGTATAAAGCGCGACAATTTTTATGTTTTTCCTTCTTCGCCATCCCCTTCCCCTCTTTCGCCCTTGAAAATTTAATCTATTTACCCCCCCCCCCCC